TTTTTTTTTTTTTTTTTTGTTGGGCTTGTTTTGTTCATTTAAATGTTCTTTATCACAGAGTTGGATTTGCTGTTTTTAACGCATTCCTTCCTTTTGATGTTATTTTGCTTGACTGTTTAAGTATTAATTTTCTATACACACAATATATATTTACAGGATGAGTCAGAGTCCTGATTTTTCCTATCGTTGTGAAGTAGGTTTGAAATATCGAAAACCTGCTTACAGTAGGTACTTACGCATATTGGAGGTCATTTATTACTTGACATAACATCATGATATAAAAGTCAAATCAAGGTCAATCAAATGTTATCTCTGAAATCATCAGTCTCAGGTAAAATATATTTATACAAAAATAGTAGCGTACAACGATATTACCCAACATACATTTGCTTATTTTCTTTTTCAATCAAAAATGATAACTTTAATAGGGTGAATTATAAAATTATGCAAGTTTGATCAACCTTGATTTGACCTTTATATCATGACATTATGTTAATTAACAAATGCTCCCCTCCCTAGGCCTAAATACTCTATATCAGTAGATTTTCGATTCGCCCTACATATATATATGCTACATTCTTTAAACGCTGAAGTCTGGCGAAGTATTAGAAACCAACAGACCTCAAGTTTGCGATGAAAATTATGTTAACTGCAGACGGGATTTACCTCATAGTTCTCTTTAAAATGTAACTTTTAGTGTATGACTATAAATTGCTTCTCTGTTCTTTTTATCTACCTCGCAAAACGTTTGTTTTAGACTATCATATATCATTATGTTTAAAAACCATAAATGATAATAAATGAAGCATTAATATGTTGAAAATGTAACGTTCTTTCCACACATACTTATGAACATATATGTATGTGTGTGTGTGTGTGTGTGTGTGTGTGTGTGTATGCACACATACACGAACAATTATATACAGTATATTGTTATAAGCTTATTTTTATGATGTAATTTAGACGTTAGCTATAGAGCGCTTGACATTAAATAAGTTTGTGGGAGTAGGCCTAGAAAAAGTTCTAAATTTGATGTCAGGAAGATCTCGAAAATTTTAGGAACACCGAGAGACGAGAAAAGATTGTAAATACAAAAATCAGTGATGTATAGTGTGCATTTTGTTTTCAGTTAGTGATCGAGCGGTGGATATTGAATAAGTATTGAGTCAGTTTTGTTTTCAATTTTTCAGTGAAGATTTAGTGAAATATTTGGATTCGTGTTATTTATCTCATATATTCTGTTACTTGATCGATCAGCCGTGAAATTTTAAAAGTTTAATTGTGCATTAGTCTTAGTATCATTAGTATACTTAGGCATACAAGTTACAACATGAATTAGCTTGTAGAAACGATAAGGAAAAAACTAAACTAATTAGTTATCGTACGTGGACAGAACTTTGAATTATTTTTATCAGATAATTTAAAGAAACCCGTCCAAAGAAATAATGGAGTTACAACAATATGTACATGTTTAAGCTTTTCCCTTAATTAATGCATGTTCTGTAATAACGATTCAGAGGCAGTTTCATGCATATGAAATACGGTAAATCCTCGTTCCTGTCTTGCTTTTATTATGACGAAAAAAATAACCCAAGAATAAACATTAAAATAGCTAATATATCAAATGACTTGTATGTATATGAAACTCAGCGGTAATATTATTTTGCATATTATTGCTGTTTCGTTAAAAGTGAACCATTCGCAACAAATAAGTAAACTCCACAGCTCACACTTGTATAAATCAGTTTTATGTTACTAATTTTAGGCCTAACAATAAATACCAATATGGCCGTAGTCTTGCGCCACGCACGGTCTGGCTAGTATGAAATGTTAATATTAGACTTCGGTGAGTAAGCACAATTAAAGAAAGAATAATAAAAAATTCAGAACTGTGCAAATAGTTAATTTTCATCTTGTTTAGGCATATACACTTTAAACTAAAGCAGTACGAACATGGTGAAACAATAACCTCATACCTCTATTTAACTAAATGAATATTGGGTTTGTGTTTTAAGGCAAAGTCACATTGGGTTATCTGCTCTGTCCACCGCTGACAATTGAAGCCCATATTTTTGCAGTATAAGTTCATAAACTTACTGCAGACCCATCAGGGACGGCAAATGAATAACGGCATTACAAATTATTCAACTAACAAATATCTCAATATCAAACAATAAAAAGAATGTCGCCAAGTGGCTAGCCATGAAAATTGAACTCGTAATGCGTGCACGTCTTCCTTTCACCAGCTTCTGCATGCTCTGAAATACGCATTTGATATTAATGTACATACAAAAGGTCAGACAGCATTTATAAAAACAAGCTGGTGGGTTCTGTACGCCAAGAACGCCGTTTATTAGTTCTATATAGCAAGACTGTCTAGTTCTTAACTTCTCTGATAACAATAGATAGTTGTTCTTTATCAAGTGTAACGTGAATGCTCGAAATTGATTAAGTGCACAAATTGGACTAGGATCTGATGTCTAACACAACCGTATACAACTGTAAGGGGGAATAGACACCTAAAGAAGTAAAGAAAAAAAGGCAGACAAATACAGATGTAAACAGAATTATACACAGTCAGATAAAAAACTATGAAGTAAAAAAAAGATTAAATAATCCGATGAA